CAAACTCTACTATTCGAAATAGAGTACAACGCAAATACATTAACATCGGCAACCAATTTCAGGGAAACCCCATGAGAAACCCCAAAAACCACCCCGAATTTACTCTCATCAAACTTGAAATCAGTGTGATTACATACAACTTTGGCCGGAGTAAAAGACTTCCTAGCAGAATTAAGGATATAGAAACGGAAGAGAACTGCGGAGCCTCCGTAAATAGGAGATGAGATGAGAAAGAGGGTGATCGGATTAGGGTTCCGTAGGAGGAGGAAAGCGGCGGCGGAGATGGGGGGATGGAGAGTGGTTTGGGGAGGAGGAAAGGAAGCGATAGAGAAAGGAGAGAAAGAAGAGTAGAGAGAGATAGAAGAATCGGAATGGAAGAGAGCTAAAGAGAGAGAAGAAGGGTGAAAAAGGAAAGAAGAAAAATGGGGTGGTGGAGAAGGGAAAGAAGGAGAAGAGAAAGGGGGTTTTGGAAGAAAAAGCTGATGAGCTTCAACTACCATTGTTAATGTCAATTTCTGATGAACAATGGGTTTCAGTTTCAGACAAATTGGATTTTTGTGGCAACGTTCATGTGTTTGGAGAAGAAGAACATAACTAATTCCTTTTATCAATAGTAAAGTAAATAATGAATTGGTTTTGGTTTGGGGGTGAATAATCAATAATGTTGTAAGTTGTAACGTACATGAATGGTTAAAACCAGATATTATCAATAATGAGATGAGTAAATGTTTCATATTGAATAGTACTCTGTGTCCGATGTACTTGTTCACTGTTAATTTTATACTTTTTAATGTTATAAAATTATAATAGAAAATGATTATAATTAATAATAACGATAACAATTAGAAATAGAATATAAATTTGCGTAATTTTCACATATAGCAAACAAAAAAATATATATATCTGTATGCTATAGAAAAATTTGCATAATTGCGTTCCATAGCAAATATATAAATGTATAATTTGTTATACATTCGCTGGCCTATTTCACTGTAATTATTTAATTCACTAGTCTATTTCGCTGCAATTGTATAATTCACTGGCCTATTTCACTGCATCATCATCTGTATAAAATTTGCATTTGTATACAATTTAATTGAAGTAAAATATTTGTATATTATATGATTAAGTGTATAGCACGAATATATATGTTTTTGCATGTGCATATACAATTTTCTCTCGTTTTATACAAAACAGAAACACAATTTATACATGTATGTTCTATAAAGCGAGAGAGGCAAGTAGAGCGAGAGTGGCAAGCGAGAATGAGAGAGTGACGAGCAGAAAGAGAGACGACTAACAAACGTTTGCTATGAGGCACAATTAAATCAAACAGTAGCTACTCCATTTATTTTAGATTATTAGTTTGCTATTCTGTACAATTATCCCTATAAATTATCTATTGATTTTATAAGGTAAACAAGTATTTGTTGGACGAAAAGGGTATTTATTTAGAGTAAATTTTAGGAATAACAAACATAAAAATCATATTAGCACTTTATACCTACATTTTTTATATTTGCGCTCTATAGCAATCAATGTTTGTTATGAAGCATTTGATTTATATAAATTGAGTATCAGCGTATATGAAAAGTTGCTTGTATATGTATATGTTATTTGTGTTAGGCTAAAGTGACGAGCGAGATTAGGATAGAAGGAGTGGAGCGAGCAAGAGATGACAGAGAGTGAAGAGGTGAATTATATATGTGTATCGATTAGACAATTGTATGTATATATGTAACTACTATGTATATGTATCTATGATGGTGTTTGTATAAATGTTGAATTTGTATACAATTGAATCAAGTTAAAACATTTTTATTTGTCTATCAAATTTTTCTCGCTTTATACAAAATTAATTATACCTACAATTGTATTAACCGAGAGAGAGAAAGGAAAAAGAGAACTCGGAAGGGAACAATTTGTATTAGTATAATTATAAGTATACACAAGGGAGAGATATGTATTTGTATTTGTATATATAATCTCTCTCGCTATATACAAACATAAACACAACTTATAGATTTGTGTGTTTTATAAAGTGAGAGAGACGAAAGAGATAATTGAGTTTGACGACCAAGATTCAGGGGAGAAGCAAATGTCAACGTGTTTGTTGCGAATTCGAATTAAATAAAGCTACAATTTATAATATTTATTTTGAATAATAATTTGTTATAATACGTAATTTTCCTTATTTAATAATAAGGAAAAACTTAATACAAAAACATTAATTATCTTTTAATTTTGCAAATTAAATAAATATATTAAATAACTATTTTCAATAATGTAAATCACAGGAGGAAGGCAGTACATCTAAGAGGAAAATAGCAAACATCAATTTTCGACTCGTTTTTAGAGTATACATTTAAAAAATAATAATTAAATAACAGAAATGTTACTCCCTTTTTTATAAACAGAACAATTCAAATAGGCCAGGCAGGCACTCTCTTTTTATAAGCTTATTAAAAACGAGTACTTAAATCTGTCAGTAGATGAAACTTCAATTTTTAAATCACTATTCATAGTACAAATCTTCTTTATGTTTGTGATCTTCCTTTGCTAAAAGTATTTCCTTCATTTTAAAAAAAATAATATAGTTTGATTTAGCACGAAATTGAAAAAAAAATTTAGATTAAAGTTATGTTAAATATATAAAATTATTTTTAATTTTGTGATTTTAAATATGTCAGGTGAAAAATTACTGCAAATTTTTTTTTATCATTTTTTAAACAAACTAAAGAAAGAAGATCATTTTTTTTAAACAGAGAGTATATATTCAGACCATCTTTAATTCCACTTTATTCTCTCTATTCACCTCTTTTTTTCATTTTTTTTTCTTATTTTATTATTATTTTGTAGTTAACATATTATTTTTCATATAAAACCATTAATTATATCTCTAATATTAGTAATTTATTTTAAATGTAATATAATATTTTTAAAAATATATTATTTAATATATACGACTTAATTTTGAATTAATAATGTTTCAATTTTTTATTTTTTATCACTTTAATATAGCTTGATATCGTTATTAGTTTTTACTATGAAGAATGCACAAATTAAAATAATAAGATAAAAAAGAATAATTTAAAAATACGATACATGACACAATAATTTAAACACGACATGACAATATTATAACATAACAATTTATCACAACGATAATTTAGTAATTTGGTAGGTCATTTTTCAGATTAACAATATTTGGAAAAAAAATAGTGTACGATCCATATAATTAGTGGAGCTGTGATTGCGATTGTGCTTATTGATTTCTTTTTTCAATTGTTCTTAGTTGTTTTGTTGAATGAAAATCTCCGATTTGAATAATTTTTAGCTAGACATAAAATGATTTAAGGATAAAAATGCTCATTTTGAACTCAATAAAACATTATTAAAGCATTATGGAAGCAATATGATAATCTTGAAAATAGAGTATTTATTTAATTATATTTCACCAATAATTTTACTTTTATTTGAATTGTCCATTAATTTGTATATCACATAATATTAATTTGCAATTTATGTTATTTATAAATTTAGGAAAAATAATATAATTCTATATTAAGTAAAGAATTTTTAAAATAAATTTTTATATTGCATTAATATTGTATAAAGTGATTATTTGGAAAAAAGGGAAATAAAGGATCTGTATCATGAAATAAGAAAATAAAATGATATAAAAATAATTTTACGATATTGAGGAGGGAGAAAATGATTTATTTTTAGAGAATAAAATGGAAAATTGAGTTAGATTTGAATGTTTGAAAAAATAAAAAAATCTTTATTTAAAAAATAAAATAGAGATTAAGGTCGGAGATGATTTAGTCCTCATTTTGTTATTGTAAATCTATGTAATTGGATTTCTTCTTCTTAAAAAATAAGATCTTCATATCTTGAATTACTAGTAATAAATAAGCCCATCAAGTGCATGAGCTCCATAAATAAAATTAATCTAACTTACTTAGGGGCATCCAATATCCCAAAATCCAACTAATTATATTATAAATCACGTGTTAATGAATACAGATTATAAAAATACTCCACCTTGTAATTTTATATTATTATCAATTTTAAAAGAAGACAAATTATCTGTAAATCACATGTTATGGACTTTTGGATCGTATTAGTGTTCTATACATGGCTGTTTTTGTATTTCTAATTAATTAAAAAAAATGTTAGTTGCTATTATTCTCCTCATTTTGTTTGTTAAGGAAAGTGAGAGGAAATACATTTATGCTAAAGAAAGTTTAAAGAATTTTTATTCGTGGACTTTTTTCTTTTTTATAAGTACATTTAAACTTTGTGTGATCTGTAAAATATTATCATGTTAAATAAAATAGAGAAAATATATCACGGCATATATTAACTAGTATATAAAAAAATTTCTGATAAAATTATAACATAATTGTTTTTTAAGTACTAATGTCAATAATTGTTATGGTTGTAAGAATATCCGATACTTAACTAAAATTTGCACTCGACTTGTGGCAATGATAAATTGAAAATTAAGAAGTAAAAGTTTATAATAAAGAGAGATAATAATCACATACACTTTTGAATGATTCTTTTCTAAAAAAATTAACACACGAATACTCATTCATTTTTCAATACAAACTATATGTTATCGCCTATCTGTTTAAAATAAAACTTATTGAATAAACGATGATGTTTCAAATAAAAAATAATAAAAATGGATATGGAGAATCAACTATCAAACTCTAATAAATATATAATGGTCCAATGGTCATAATGATGAAAGGAACAATTGAATACACCTACTATCACACAACATAAAGCACTTCAAACTGAAAACAACTTGAACTTGTGAGCACTACCAACATATAAAAAAGTTTCATTTTCAAGTTCAATCATTGAGAACCCCAACGAGGGTTGCGGTGAGGTCTTGGATTCAAGCCCTTCAGAGCATAGTGGTCTCAATTTCGATCTCTTTGGATATGAAATCTCCTTTGTAAGGGAGAACTCTATGGTTCAAATAGTTATCGAACAAATACGTCCTTGAATTCATTACCAAATAATTTTTTCATTTTTATCTTTTTCTGGACTTTATAATAAAGATGGAACGTATCACATAGGGATACAATTCAGATAATAGGCATACATACAAAGTACTAACAAAACAGTTAAACTTTTACCCAACAAAACGACAAATAACATACCAAAAATTGCAAAATAAAAGGACGTTGATGTTACTTTTTTTTTTAATTCTAGAGCACGTAGTTATTGATTATTTCAGAACGACCCCAACAAAAGTTGTGATTTGCACATCAACACCCCCACTTAATTAGTGTAATTTTTCAGTGCGGCCCCTTCCTCACAAGCTTTAGCTTCAGGTGTTGGCTCCACCGTCGGCGACGGAGGAACCGCCGTACACAACAATTCAGATGGCAGACCGGGGATCCCCTTCAAGTAAAAAGTGTAAAATAGCTTGAAAGGGAAAATGAGTTGCTGCAATTTCACTTGACCGGAAACCCCTGCAAATATGCCGGATCCACCGGTGACGGCTAGGTAAGTTTCTTCATAGGTTAAGTACGCTCCCTGAACGGCGATATGACCGTAATCGCCGAAGTAGAAGCTGTAAACAGCTTCATAGCGATCTCCTTTCTTCTCTTCTTCGTGCTTGATCAGAATGCAGAGTCCTGCTGTTATTCCAATTCTCTTCTTTAGATCTGCAGTATATAGCTGCAACATACCAAGAATCAGCATACGAATTAAAAAGACTCGTTCTAGGTTCTGGTATCTTGATTGCAAAGAGAAAGTTACCTTGTTGCTAAAGGGGACAAGATCTCCGAGTGAATTAACAGTCTTTTGGCTCAATCGAAGATAAGCAGGGCTTCCACGATCACGTTCATTGATCTCATAGACACTAAGTTCTTGAACTTCAGCTGAAATCAAGAAAATTTTTGAGTATTCACAGATTGAACATAAGGTGTTTGATAAAAAAAATGTGATAAAGAAGTTAACTTTTCTTACTGTTAGTTGAATCTGTTGAGGTGCTCTGGCTCTTGCAGGAAAATGATCTGGAAGCAGTAGTAGAGGTGGTAGTAAGTTTATGATTCTGAGAAATGAGAGGGTTAGGTAGTTTAAAAGATTGGATCTTTTTAGTTTGGAAGGCAGAAGATAGCTTGGATGAGGAAGAAGAAATGGTTCTAAGAGCAGCAGAGGCTGAGGAAACAGTGGCCATTGCTGAACAATTTGTTGGTTCTAGCGGTCAAAAAAGAAGACTTAAATGAGGTTGTTGTTGATACTGATGAAACGATTCTAAGTGGGGGTGATGCATTATATAGAGTGGTGAGGGGGTCCAATTTCCATGTGTAACAAATGTGAATTGATAAACTATTACAATAAGTACTGTCAAATATTTTTTCAATTCGGTGACCGTTACCTGCTTTGGAGTCTAATTATTCTGAATTTATATTGTATAAGTATTAAAGAAGTGACATCTGAATCTAATTCAATTTTAATGTATAATTATTTTTAATTATATTGTATAAGTGTTAAAATATGATATTTGAACCTAACTCAATCTCAAAAGCTAACTCATTTTTCAAATCAATGAATACTTATAAATGAAAATATGTGTGTCTAACTCCAACGAAGCCAATAACTTGACTTTGATAAAATATTAAAATATTATATCTGAATTTAACGCAACTTCAAAAATTAGCTTTTAAAATTTTCTATCGCTCTAGGTCATTTTAACAAATAAGGTTTCATTAAAAGAGGACGGTGTTAGATGTGATGATGGTAGTTTGTGTGTTTTCACAAGTTGAATAGTCAAAGATAGTTTGGAGTTGTCCAAGAATGTAATAGCCAATGTGAGAAAAAGTGGCAACACGTGTTTCTCCTGCGCAGGCCGCAGCTATTGATTGGTGGTCTCTGCGGCTCAGCCTACATTGAATGTTGTGACTTCAACCCTTCGAATACTAATTCACACATCTCCGTCCAATTCTCTTTAATGTGTTCTTTTTATTTTTACTAAATTAGTTTCTGAAAACGTAATTTAAATTAATGAGTATATTATTTTTTTTAAAGAAAAATATTGATAAAATATGATTTTGAGTTTTTTTTTTGTCTTATTATTAATTGTTACATTTCAATTTTATGACCATGAAATAAATGAATCAAAATAATAATATAAGAAGTCAATAAAATAAATTATACATATAAGCTTGTGAAGCAAAGAGAAAAAAATAACAATTATTTAAATGAAATTGCTCGATATTTTTAATAGTTTTTTTTATTGATAAAATAATCTTAGAAGATCAAAAGATTACATGAATTAATCTTTTGGAAGTCTGTGCTGCAACTTAATATTTCTTCAATTAAAAGTTCGACAAAGATTATTTACTTTTTGTACTAAAAATGAGATAAGATTAACTTTGAGGGAAGGAAAATAAAATCTTTTAATTTTTTTACTTTGCCTTTTGAATCTCATAATTATAAGAAATGTGTTTAAAATATTATGTTAAATTTTATTCATGAGCACTTTAAACTAATTGGTTAATTACAAATATTTAAAAAACTAAGGTGTAGAAAAGGTCTTATTATTTATATTTGGGAAAATACAGAATTATCTCCTCAACTTATGTTTGAAATTTCAGAAACACACTTATACTATATTAAGATCTTATTATTCCTGAATTTATTTTATAAGTAATTGTCTATGCCGTTTCGATCTACGTGACACTAACTTAAAAAAGAAAGTCAACCAATGTTGAGCTCAAAAAATAGTGCCACGCAAAAATAGATAGAAAATTATTAATAAATAAGTTTAGGGGAATAATATAACCTTGATAAAATATAAGTGTGTTTCTGAGATTAATTCAAAAATATGTAGGTTATTGGCTCGCGTAGAAGTTACTTGGTTTGATATTAACTAGATAACAATAATCGACTTTTTTCAATTCTAATTTCTAACCAAGTTTTAGTTAGTTTTTTTTTAATTGAAGTAATTTGTTTAGTTGCTAAATATTTTTTTGTCTCTAATTATTTGTCTACTTTTAAATTGACATCATTTATTACGAAAATAATGATTGAGATAGTGAATTTATCATTTTACCCTTAGTAATTATGAAGTGGATAAATTAAAAAAACTTAAAAGTTTAAAAAATTATATTATGTAAAAGAAATTATCCTTTCTTGATTTATCAAAATAGACAAGTAATTAAAAATTATTAAATAAAAAAAAAGAACAACTAATTAGAAAAAGAGGAAGTGAAACTTTAGTTAGAGGGATCTCTAAATGTTGCATGTAGTGGGGTGTCATCTTCAAAACTTCAATACTTCACTTGCAATATTCCAAGAAGGCATAATATATATATTAGACTTCAAAATTTAACTTCAAATTTTAATTTTGATCTTCAACTTTCATAGTACATAAATACGCACTTTAATTATCCTACTATTTAATAAATAAGCACGTGATTTTTATCTGTCAAAACGCGTGAAAATCACGTATTCTACGCGCGTGAGGAGTAATTTTTTAAGCTCACAACAGAAAAAAATGCTGAAATGACAATTCTACCACCCCGGATTCCGTCCAATCTCCGACAACCCAAAAAACCCATTCATTTTGCCCAACCGTTCTTCTTCTTCCTCCACACCGAAGCACAACCCATGAAGCGAACGAACTTCAAACTCGCTGAACCCACCAAATACTTGACCCCAAACCCATCAGATTTGTCGTCTCCGGCGAGAATCATCACCAAACTGCTGCAACCAGCAGCTCGAACAAGACACAAAACAGCAGCCAAATGACCCCCAAAATCCCATGAAGACAGACCCAACAACCACAAATACCTAAACCAAGAAGCCAGCCATCAACAAACCTCTAAGCTCTGTCAAAGAATGAGCTCCGAGCTCTAAAACCATAAATTAAAATTAATTTTAATTTTTTCTAGTTCTAAAATTGACGTGTAAAATATTTAACTAGTTGACAGATACGTTGGAGCGTTTGCCTTTCACGCTCTTTGACTTTACAAATCGTGTGTTTATTTATTTAAATGTAAGATAGTTAAAATGTCTATTTGTGCTTGTGCACTATAAAAATTAGAGGTCAAAATTAAAATTTGATGCCAAATTTAGGGTCCAATAAATGTATTATACCTTACAAGAATATCTCATTTTCCTCCCAATTTAGCAAATCATTTGCAGTTTTTCCATTTAATTTGCTCTGGTCCAAGATATATGCCCAAATGCAAGACAAATCAGTTAGCAATATGTGTTTGTGTCTAAATTATAGTGATCACTATTTTTTCATTACAATCGAGTCTAAGCAAGAGAATTTAGTGAAGTTCATACCTGTTAAAGAATGACAAAAGTCCACATCAGTGGTTAATGAGATGAGGTGGACTCCTTACAAGACTTAGGCAATCCTCCTTCAGCATAAGACCTAATTTCAACCATACCTAAGAGGATACTCAGCCATATATTTCATAATAATGATTATTGCAGCATTAACCGCCCTAGCAATATCAGACTCGTTCAAAAATTGTTGTTGCTCATTTGTGGCGGCGTGGATCATCTCATGAGACAAAATGCCATCTGGTGCAGCAATTTTATTCACAAAGCAATATAAGTATAAGAACACCAAGCTTATCAACAAATCACAAAACCACTGCAAATGCACAATATTCATTACTTTGATTGATAAAGCTAAAACAGAAAGAGAAATACTTGAACTATTTGTAGCAACTTCAAAACCTTATTGAAGCTTCCATTCCCTATTGAATCAACAAGCAGTCGTTGTAGTATAGTGGTAAGTATTCCCGCCTGTCGTGCGGGTGACCCGGGTTTGATCCCCGACAACAGCGTCAAACTTTTTGGTTGTAGCACATATTCATTTTTGCCGATGAAGAAGAAAATCTGTCATAGCAAGAAGTGGAGCTGCCTTCTCTGGAGCAAAACCAACAAGCTGCTCCTTGGCCTCCTTGCTAAGTTTTTGAGCATATTCTTTGGACTTGTCAATGCCAATCATCTTTGGGTACGTCAATTTGTTGGCCAACAAATCGTTCCCCGCTGTCTTTCCTAGTTGCTCAGAGGATTTAGTAACATCAAGAATATCATCCACAACCTGATACATCAGTCCAAAACACTGCGAGAATTTCCTAACTCTATTAATCTCCTCCTCAGATGCACCACCAAGCAATGCTCCTACAATAGCCGCGGCTTCTGTAAAATCTGCTGTCTTGTGACTATGAATATACTTAAGCTCTTCCAATCCAGTATCACATTTATCTCCACACAGCATGTCAACCACCTGGCCAGCCACTGCCCCCTCTGGTCCAATCAACCTTGCTACTTCTCCAACAGCACGAACCATTGTTTTTGGGTGCACCCCTTTAGTGGTTGTTGCCATATGCTCAAATGCTAAGGCAACAAGTGAATAACCAGCTAGAACAGTGACATTTTCGCCAAAAACCTTGTGATTTGACAGCTTTCCTCGACGGAGATCACCATTGTCCATGCACGGAAGGTCGTCGTGCATCAGACACATAGAGATTATCATCTCCATTCCGCAAGCAGCAGGCATCACCGTTGATTCTTGCCCACCAACAAGCTCACAGGCGGCTATGCAGAGTACAGGGCAAACCCGCTTGCCTTCAGAAAGGAGTGAGTATCTCATTGCTTCGTGGAACTTGATAGGCTCTTTGATTGGAACAGCAGCATCTAAGGCTTGATTGACAGATTTGACCTTTTGGAGCATGTAACTTTTCAAATCAAAGACACTTCTTGTTGTCTTACCAGATTCTCTGCATATATTTTCATGTTTGATAACTTTGGATTCATTCTTGGAAAGATCTGTGCTATTACAAAAGGATCTTGCTTTTGGGAGGAATATAACTTCTGTTGTTTCCTCTGAAGAAAGAAGCAACTTTGTTCCTGCAGATCTGAATCTTTTTGGAGTACCTCTTGTACTAAGTCTTGCAAGATTGTGGATTACACCTTTTCGCATAGACATGACTCTTAACTTGAGAAGTCTGCCAATCTTTTTCCCTGATCTAGTGAATTACTATCCAGTCTGGAACCCTCAAGCCAAAAACTTTATGGGACCTTGCTATAACTCATGAGTTGACTATTTGGTATTTTGCTAATACCTAAAGAGGATGATGAAAATGGTAAGATCTTTGTTTGATGGCTATGAACTATCCAGATATATCACTTGCACTAACTTGATTCTAATTAATAATGGTATTTGGGGAGTCTCATTTACATGGTGTATAGAATTATCTCTAATAATTGGTATTCCATTTTGATCAATGGGCAACCATGTAGTTTTTTAAAAAAAGGAGTAAAACTAGGTGATCCTCTTCTCTATCACCAACTCTATTCATTTTGGCCTCAGAATGCATGCCAAGGGCATTAAGTGCATCACTCTCAGAGCACAGATTTGCTGGATTTGGCATAGTCCAGAGATAAACCATCTGGCTTATACTGATGACACTATCATATTTGCCTCTGCTAATGAAGAATCACTAATATTGATCATGAATACTATCTCAATATATGAAAAAGATAAGTGTTCAGAAAATGAACAAAGGCAAGATTGCAATCTTTCTTGATCACAATGCAAGTCAAGAAGTAGAAGCTGAAGTGTCTGAGATTACCAGAATTCATAGAAAAGATTTCCCCTTAACATATTTGAAAGTACCAATTTACAATGGGAAGACACACTATAAAGAGATCACAGACAAGGTGTTTAATAGATTCAATTAATGAACAGGGAAGCTCCATTCTATCCATGGGAGGGTAAAACTCATTAAATTTGTGCTACAGAGTATGCCTACACACTTACTGTTTTCCCTAACTTACGGATCAGATCACGCAAGAGATGAAAAGCTGGACTGAAAGATGGAAGGAGGCCCTGTTTATCATGAACAAATAAAATTCCCTATTGGGAGGAGAAATGAAACAAACTTTTAACTAATTTGGTTTCTTTGGTTGCTTGTAGATCTTCAAGGAAGACAAAGACCAACAGCACAAACATGCACACAAATATAAATTATAAACAGTACAGAAACAAACTGGCGTAATTTTTCCTGGATTGGCTCAGTACAATAAACCTGTAAATGGAATGGCTCAGTAGAGAGGAAACATACTTAGCTATAGGAACTCAAGAACCAATGCAGACACCAATACATCAATAAGAAGGAAAGAGAAAAGGTATGAAGCATCTACAAGAACCAAATGGGCTAGCAACATGCAGAACAAATCCGATACCTAATCTTGATTTTACTATTAGGGTTGGATGCTCATGCAATTGTTTTGAACAAATCTTTTTCAGTACAAAATCAAAAAAAAGGGCGACATCAATCACACAGTTTCAGACCGGAAAACAAAAAAGAAGATAGAAGCTCACTTTACAAAGCATCGCAAAGAGCACAACATCACATCTACCCTATACAACTAGTTTTCTTGAATAGTAACAAAGGCTGTAGCTCTAACAAGCAGTCGTTGTAGTATAGTGGTAAGTATTCCCGCCTGTCACGCGGGTGACCCGGGTTTGATCCCCGGCAACGGCGTGTGTATAAAAGAAAGATTAAATAATAGGTATGATCATCATTTTTGCCGATGAAGAACGAAATCTGCCATAGCAAGTAATGGAGCTGACTTTTCTGGATCAAATCCGACAAGTTGTTCCTTGGCCTCCTTGTTAAGTTTTTGGGCGTATTCTTTGGACTTGTCAATGCCAATCATCTTTGGGTACGTCAATTTGTTAGCCAACAAATCCTTCCCCGCTGTCTTTCCTAATTGCTCAGAGGATTTAGTCACATCAAGAATGTCATCCACAACCTGAAACAGCAGTCCAAGACACTTGGAGAATTTTTCAAGTCTATTAATCTCCTTCTCGGACGCACCACCAATCATTGCTCCTACAACGGCCGCAGCCTCTGCAAAGTCTGCAGTTTTGTGACGATGAATATACTCGAGCTCTTCTAATCCAGTATCAGAGTTACCTCCACACAGCAAGTCAAGCACCTGGCCAGCCGCTGCCCCCTCTGGACCTATCAATCTTGCTAGTTCTCCAACAGCACGAGCCATTGTTTTCGGGTGTACACCTTTAGTGGCTGTTGTCATATGCTGAAATGCTAAGGCAACAAGGGAATAACCAGCTAAAACAGTGACATTTTCGCCATAAACCTTGTGATGTGACAGTTTTCCTCGACGGAGATCATCGTTGTCCATGCAGGGAAGGTCGTCGTGCATCATACACATAGCATGTATCATCTCCATTCCACAAGCAGCAGGCATTGCTGTTGATTCTTGGCCACCAACAAGCTCACAGGCGGCTATACAGAGTACAGGACAAATCCGCTTGCCTTCAGAAAGGAGTGAGTATCTCATTGCTTCATGGAACTTGATAGGCTCACTGATTGGAACAGCAGCATCTAAGGCTTGATTGATGGATTTGATCTTTTGAACCATGTAACTTTTGAAATCAAAGACACTTGTTGTTTTTCCAGCTTCTCCGAGTATGTCTTCATGGTTGATAACTTCACTTTCATTCTTGGAAAAACCTGTGCTATTACAAAAGGCTCTTGCTTTTGGCCGGAATATAACCTCTGCCGTTTCCTCTGAAGAAAGAAGCAACTTTGTTCCTGCAGATCTGGATCTATTTGGAGTGCCTCTTGTACTCAGTTTCACAAGATTGTAGATTACTCTTTTTAGCATAGACATGACTCTTAAAGTGTGGATTACTCCCTGATTTGGTGATTTCCTATTTGACTTACTGAGGAACAAGCATTCAAGCGAAAGCAGCAAGGTAGAAGCTATCTCATAATAAAGTCAAACATCACTCTTTTTTGTATTACTAATATAAAAAATAGGGTTAGAATGAGTTCCTAATTTACAGACTGGTCCCAAGCCCAAAAATATATGGCAATTTGCAATAACTGAGTTGGCTCTTTGGTATTTTCTTCATACCTTTTGAGGATGAGTGGAAGATGTAATCCACATAATGGTCTATCTGGCAGGACTTTTAAGAGAAATTGATTTTCAAAGTGAAAGCCACTAAAGAAAATTATGAACATTAACTGGCAGATCCAGTTGGGAAGTAACTCAAAATTATTCGGGATATCCAATAATTGATAGAAGTCCAAGTTTGAATGAAAACTATACTAATTACATATGACAAAAATGCAGAAATGTTTGAATGAAGAATCTTTACGGAAGAGTAGAGAAATGTTGTGACTTAAAGAATGGGAATGTCTCAGGTCATAGAAGTGCTGCAACAGCCAAAGGAAAGAAATAAAAGACAGTAGAATAAGCTGCATATAAGACTTCATATAGAAGCTAGAAATAGACTTTAACAAAAAAAATGGCCAAATACATCCACAGAATGAGATATCAGTTGAAGAGTATCATAAGGAGAAGAAGAATAGAAACGTGTATGGGCCATTATTTCATTCAAGATGTTAGAAGTTTGAATCTTTAAATGTACACACTCATGTCCTTGCCTTGTACTTACTTCTTAAACTTTAAATATACAAATTGGTTGACCAAAAATTCATATATTCATTGTTTAATACTATCAGGAATCACTGAGAATTCTGTTGTTACAATTTAATTCTCTCTGTAAGCAATATAATTTGCAAGAGCAAACAATGGAGCTGCTTTCTCTTGATCAAATCCAACAAGCTGAGCTTTCGCTTCTTTGTTTAACTCCTCAGCAAACTCCCTAGATTTCTCAATACCTATCAGTTTGGGATAAGTTACCTTATCAGCAACCAAGTCCTTCCCAGCTGTTTTCCCCAATTGCTGAGAAGACTTTGTGACATCAAGAATATCATCCACAACTTGAAATAACAAACCAATACATCTTGCAAATTTTCTTAGCTTTTCCACATCTTCATCTGGTGCACCTCCTAATATAGCCCCTAGCACCACTGACCCTTCTAACAAAGCTGCAGTCTTGTGCAGATGAATGAACTCTAAATGCTTCAAATCAACATCAGAAATGCCTTCTGAAATTATATCTACAACCTGACCAGCTACAAGTCCCTCTGCCCCAATACACTTCGCCAACTCACCAATCACCCTCACAATTCTATCAGAAGAAACCCCTTTTGTATGAGTAGCAATGTGCTCAAAGGCTAATGCAAGAAGTGCATCCCCTGCTAAAACAGCCACATCCTCCCCATAAATCTTGTGATTTGTAGGTTTCCCTCTTCTAAGATCATCATTATCCATACAAGGAAGGTCATCATGAATCAAAGACATGGTGTGAATCATTTCAACAGCACAAGCTGCTGGCATGGCTGTGGACTCAACCCCACCAACAAGCTCACAAGCAGCTATACACAACATGGGTCTAATTCTTTTCCCACCAGCAAGAAGAGAGTACCTCATGGACTCATGAATCATGACCGGTTCCTTGATAGAGACTGCAGATTCCAAAGCCTTGTTGACAGAAACAGCCTTTTCAAGAACGTATTCTTTAAACTCCATTGCTTGTTTCTTGCTCTTGCTTTCTTGCTCCTTTGTAAGAAGAGCTGAGACAGAAAGAGAAGAAGGGTTAGTGAAGAATTTCATCTTCAGATGAGGCATGAATCCTGGAGAGCGAAATCTGGATCTGCCTTTATTTCCAACGTCAGAAAAGGGATGATGGGTGTATCCCCAAGTTGTAATTGTTGTTGAAAGACTCATTCTTTCGACCTAATTTCTCAGTTAATTAGGTTTCGCAAAGATAGATGAAGAAGAAGGAGATTGCAAGTTTAGGATATCCGAAGCTGTACAGAAGTTTCAACATTAAGGGTCCACTACTGGATAGTGAAGAGACGCAACTGCATATATATAAAAATAAATATTCTTCAAGGTTGGCCAGTAGAATGCCTAAATAATGTGTGATCTCATACTCTTCGATCGAGTTAATTCCCTAAATTAAATTGCTTTTGAAACATTATTTATATTTTATTTACGTTTACAATATTACTCAGTTATCGTTATTTTCCTTCAAACACTTTAAAAACATTTACTCTCTCTTTTAGTTGGCATATGTCATTAAAATTTTTTTTTAATAAATAGACTAATTTAATTCATCAAACTCATTTAACTAAAATAATGATTATATTATTTTTAATTTTTTTATTAATTTATTAAGAATAAATTTTCATACTTAAAATCTTTGTTACACAACTTATAATTAATTATAAATTAGCATTCATGAGTGATTTGTGTATTAATTTATTTTTGAATTTAAGTGTTTATAAGTATTCAAAATTGATAAAACTATAGTACATAATTTAAATGAATTATTCATAACATAAAAAAATAAAAAGTTTAATTATGATAAAAGATTATAAGCATAAAAATTTATTCTTCATAAATTAATAAAAAAATTAAAAAATAATATGATTATTTTTTAGTTAAATAAGTTTAATGAATTAAATTAGTCTATTATTAAAAAATAAATTTAATGACATGTCATGCCAACTAAGAAAAAGGGATGATTTTGAATTGTCAAGTATATTTGGAGGAAAATAGTAATAGTTGAGTGATATTTTCATCTTGAATGAAACATAAATGATATTTCAAGACAATTCTCTTTACTTGGTTGACCATTAGATAAGGAAAAATAAGTAAACTAGTCAAAATAAATAACATATTTAGTAAAAATATTCATACTTTATAAATATTAGCAATAATGTCAAAAATGTCATTATTTTAGAAAATTTATGTGTCTCAATTTTCTTCCTATTTTATCTCTTTTTTTCAATTAATTCTATATATCTTTTTTTTTAAAAAAAAAGTCATTCTCTCTTATATTTATCTTTTCAAATTGTTAATTCTCTCTCCCATTTAATTTTTTTTCTCTCTCATGATTATCTTTTCTGATTTTCCTCCAACATTCAAGTTGCAAATATTTTTTTGCCATATATTTTGGTTGTTTTTTTAATCCAAAATTGAATCAACAAGAATCCCTTTAATTAAGATATCTATAATCTTTATCCTATTTTCAGATTTCTTTTCTAATTTTATTTTTGTTTAAATCTTAAAAAAATGTTGTTTGTATTTTTCAATTTCTGTTATGATTT